CTTCTCTCATTATATGATTTCAATTATCAATTCACCTTGCTAGACTTGTCGTTAGCATTTTGTTTTTCCTAACACATCAACATTATGACTATCATTCTGTACTGTTATCAAATTATTTCACTTTAATACATCACCGATAAACTAAATCATCACTTCTTGGCTAAAACTTTTCTGACATATGAATTAACAAATTAATTTAAATTGCAAAAACGAAAAATAAAACTTATGAAAGAGCTGCTAAAATGTAATATTTGAAAATATTTTTATTAAAGCCATTCACAAAAATCCAATTTCATTGTTGACGGGGAAATTATTCCGTGATCTTTTATTTGGAAACTGTATGCTTGTAGTTTTGAAATACTTTCCTGATCCTGTCTTGGCCAATTTTATAATTCTGAAAAAAAAATAGTTAAAAGCATGCCTAAAGGCTGTTCCAAAAGTAGCAATACTAGAGCGATAATGAATGTTAAGTTGTCAGTTTTTAATATACCGTAAATCTTTACAAAACATAATTGGAATAATGCGAGGAAATTTCAACTTTTGATATTTCACAAATGTTTTCCACTAAATAAAAATTAAAAAAAAAAAAATTCAATGAAAATTTGAAAAGTAATTCTTTGAACTCAAATTTAAATCTCGAAAAATGGTTAATCAAATACATTTGATTTGAAATCCGGAAGTTTTAATCCGTGTGATTTTTTTTTTTGGGTTAGTAACATGACGCATACAAAGTATTATGAGTAATGATGGGGAAGAGAATTCAAACTGAAAATGTGATATTAATTTATCAGAATAAATTGGTGATACCATCTACTTATCATTAATCATAACAAGCGGTAATAGTATTCGGGAAACTGACTATTAACAAGTTTAATGGTTAATACTAAAAAACAATGGTGATATTCTTGATATGGGATATTGATAATACATTTAAAAGAAGTTAAATTCTTTAGCAAAGAATCAGATTTTAAATGAACCAAAAATTTACTTTTTAAAATTATTTCCGATTAATTGAATCGTATGATTAAACAGTTTTTGAATTTATATCTATTGCATATTGATTAATATTGGATGAATCGATGAGCCAATTGGAATAAGCAAAAAATGAACGACAGATTTTCTTTTTTCAAAAAAGCGCTATCAAATGGCATACTGTAAAATGTCGAAAATTCATCAAAATCTAATTCCAAAACTGGAAAATCGAACAATACGAAAGTAAAGTACAGAATTAAAAAATTTTTGCAACTGTCCTTTTTAATGTATAATGTATTAAATAATCAATCATTATCTTTGATCGAAGTGCTGATACTGTTAATTACGGAAATTAGATTATCAATAAAACCAAAATTATCAAAACCAAAGGAAAAAAAAAACTAAACTTCATTCTGAAAAATGTTAAAAAGCGGAAACAAAAATAAGAATTGATTAAATGAAAGTTGCATTCAATTTATTGTTTTTACTAAAATTAAATATCATGCAAGAAACTATTCCGAACATTTTAATCAGTCCAGCAATGACTTTAATAAAATATGTGAAGTACAGTCTGACCAAATTGAACATTATCTTTCATATTTAGATCCATTTCGAAATTTTCTAACCGAAATAATTCATTATACTGAAGACGGGATTAATGGATTATTATAAATATTTCATATTGGCACTTACCTCATAAAGCTTCATATTAGCATGAAAAAATAAT